TTTTTTTTTTTGCTTGTGTGGTTTTTCATATATTTTTGAGTATGGTTAGAAGGAAGCCTGTGACACAAGAATGTCATTGCCAGTGACTGCTGTATGTAATTGTTGTGCACATGATAATTCAAGTATTGAATCTTGAATTTATATTGTGTGACTGTATTTCATCAGATTTTATATCCCACCTTGCCTCACTGCATCACATCTCACTTTACCATATTGCATGTTATTTTTTCTCACTGCATACATTTCACCTTATTATATTGCATCGTGTGAAGCATTATTGCATGTTGTGCAATTCATTTTATCAAATCTTTTCTTCTTGCATCTCATATCACGCAGCTGGAATCAAGGCTCATCTCCTCTTCTGATTAATTCGAATATTTTATCTTTTCTCATTTCACCTCATTGCGTCTCCCTTCACCTTGCTGCATTGCATCCCAAACATTTTGACAGTATCCCCTACTGAAATACCTGTTACAAACTCTTCTCTTTACACATTATAAGAAATAAACAGCTTTCTGGAGGGAACTTTCGGGAAGTCTGTTAAAGTGGATGAATAATTCAAAGACAGTGACACATTCATTAGATCTGTGGCCATTTTGAAGAGACAGGTCGGTTTCAATCAGCTGGATGAGAAAAAACGTTTCCGCCTCTAAAAACACACGACAACTATGAGGAAAGATGTGAGTTTTAAAACCCCTAGAAGATGTCAAAATGATTATGGATCTCAGTGTTTTCACACAGTATGCTCTCTGGGAGAAGATGGGGAGTTGACTATTAATCTCTCATTAGAGATTTTTCTTTAATTTGTATTTTTTTAAATCTTATTTATGGTTTGTGGGGTTTTTTTAACATCTCAGAGCATTTGCAGTAAACCGTACTTGCACTCTTTGGCAGGGATGAAGGAGTAGAGGGTGATTGAGTTTTTTGGACAAGTTTCTCCCCCAGTAAGGCAGCTGGAGGTGCCTGTGCAAGCAGCCTTTTGAAAAGCGGACAGCAGACATCCAGTGGAGGCTTGTAGACAGCGCAAACGAACAGATCTGAGCACATCTGGATCCAAACATTGGGGAGGAGTGTTTGAGATAAGGGTCTGAGACACTTATTTGTTCAGCGTCCTCGGCTGTCTGACTTTTTGAGTTTCTAAAAGGGTGGTTTCATGGTCTTGAAGAGTTTTTTTTTTATTGATCTGTTTATATTTGGCCCAAAATACTGCGCCAAAAAGAAGGTTGTACATACCTTTGTAAACTGTTTATCCAGATCTGTCAAGTTGGCCATCTGGCTGACACGCAGGACCCAAGCGCAGGGGACCTGTGTGTAGCAGTGTGGAGCTGGTCTTCACTTATTTTGAGTGATGGTTTAGAGTGACTTCTGTTTTCTATGCAATGGCCAATAAATGAATTTGAAAAACAAAACTATCCCCTCACCTCTTCATCTCGTGTCATCTCATCTTGCCGTTAATTATCTCTCGCTCACAAACTAATACTAATTTTATCGTCAAGTCAACTACTCATCTTCTCTCTCCACTACGTAATAGAAATTCAATTTTGCCCGATCAATTCAGCATACCAGGCAGAGTCATGACTGACAGTAATCAGTTTGCAGAAAGCACCAGGTGAAGCAGCTCTGTGTTTTCTCAGATAGATAGTGGTCATTTTCCTAACCAAACTTTTCTTTGCTAACCGCTCATTACACAACATTACAATGAACACACACACACACACAGAGTCAGCCCAGTTCACCACTGTGTGAGGAGGCTGACCTTGATAACCTTATGGTCAGTGACTCCCACACAGTAGCGTAGTCGCCCCTTCACCTCCCTAAAGGTGTGTTTGCTAGAACCACTGGACTCTGATCTAGAGGTCCATCATTTATCTAACTGTTTTATTAGTGTACAGAAATAAGCAAACACAGAATACAGAAGTGCCACCATGTGAGGACCGACATCTGCTCTCACAGATACTTTATGACACTGTATGCTGTACATGAATGAAACTATGTCTTATCTATATATTTGTACAGTTTGGGTATACAGTATAAATTGAAGGCTTTGCGCTGTTACTGGGTTTACACCTTATTTCTGTGAAGTATAAATGCTATAATAAACTTGCTTAATAAAATATATTTTCCCTTTCATTTAAAAAGGTACTTTGCAAACAAATATAGTCAGATGAAGGTGCTTGAGAAGAAGCACGGGTATTTTCCAAAAGATGTCAAATGAATGCATCAATCATTTGAAAAGATACTAAAAATAAATATGAGCCTTAGCATGAAGTGAAAGCAAAGTCAAGGGCTCACCTGAGACTCAAGAAGTAATTCAGTGGAGACCAATGTCAGTACCACGTCTAATTTCCAAGAATTTCTGTACAAAGCTTCATAGTTATCCATTGAGCCAAACTGCTAGTGTAGCTTAAACCTGCTATAATGTACATGTTTGATTGCGTTCTGTTGGAATGTAAGAGTCAGATAAGTCAGTGTATATTTTTGCGCAGCGTCTGTGACACACCCATCAACTGTGGTTGACTGATAACTCCCCAGCCGGCCCACAACATGAAACATACAGCATTATAAAGAGCTTCTGTGATACAGACAATGACAGGTCCGCACACATCGATGCATTTATTTGCAAACTTACTGTATGCTCAGAAGATAACATTCAGGCAGCCACTGTGGGATCAATACAAGAATTGGTAGTGCCCAAACACGCACGAGCTCACACATGCACGCTCACACACACATTTTTCTCAGCTGGTCCAGGTTTGCTTCCTGGTTCTCTCCCTAAGTTCTCAACTCTCAAGCCCTGACAGAGCCATCACTGTCTCACTCTGATAACATGAGGCAGCTTAATGTTTAGCCCACACACACAAACACACACACACACACACGCACACATAGGGAAGCAGAGGGATTACAAAGGCACAGATACCCATATGCTGCCCTGGGATGGAGAACAGGAAACTAAGTACAAGGAGAACACAAGGTAGCTGTGACCAAGGTGAGAATTATTACTGTTTTCTGCTGCTGTTTCAGTTGTATGCACTTTGATGTTCTTCATAAATTGCTGCTAAGGACACAATTTGAGGCTAAATGTGCATTTCTGTCACTACATCCTTATTTAAATTGTAGTGAGGGAAATGATGAATTGGATTCAGAGCTTTTGTGTAAATGTTGTTGACTGTGTTCTACTTTGAGGAGATAAACTGATAACAATAACCCTGATGATAGGCTTTGAAAAATTGCAAGCTTTTCTAGTGCAGAGTGAAAACCTGTTGAAGCTTTTCTTAGCCTTCAACTGAGCTTAACCAAGCTATTAGCCTGTTAATCCACGTTAACAGGCTAATAACACACATGCATGTGCACTGTGCCATGTGTCCTGTGGAGAAACTGGACTATATCACACTCGATAGATAATACTAGCAAGAACATCTATTCAAAAAGACGGACTCTTTAAAAAATACATAATATTATATTATAATTATAAAATAAAATGTTAATCATGTTTTGGTTTAAATTGGAGCTCATGTTAAAAAACAAATGCAGAAACAGATATTAGATACACTGGGAACATTTGTTTGACACTTCCCATGCAAGTAGATTAATTATATTGAAGAATTTCATGATTGTCAATCTAATATGATACTAGATAATGATAAATTATATATACATAAAAAAGAAATGAAGAAGAAAGAAAGATGTAAGAGAAGAAATATGCTTAATTGTCTTTTGTGTAGGAAAGAAAATAAAAAGTGGAAGGAGCGACCCTGCATCGCGTAAACTCACCTATGGTTCCAAATCCAAACTTCAAAGCATTGTGCTGCACGCTGCTTTAACTCCCAAAATTACTGACACAATTTTCTTAAATACAAGAACTTTAAATATAGGCCGCAGCTGACGTAAATCCTAGTTATTCCTGTCTAAGCAGAAAATTATTGTTATGCAAAAAATATTATCAAAGTTTTGTGAACACATCTTCACATTATTATACTTCAAATTATCTCTCAATTATATACGTGTGAATCTATCTCAAATTAGTATGGACAAAAACATAGCGATTTATGAGCACCTGTTGTCACCGAAACACTTTTTTTAAATGCCTATCGAAAAATGATGTTAGTTTTGGAGTGATTTGTAAAATTCTCACATTAATGCACATTAATTCTGTTTCCATGTGACAGGGACCAGTGTTGAAAATGAATCCCCTGCAGAGCGACTTAGCAGCTGCTCCAGTCGTCCTCTCACTGCTCTGGTCCGTCTCTATGTCTATGCACTTCACGGCTGCCTCTGTGAGGTGGCCTTCACTGCCGTGTTGGACTGGTGCAGCACCAGAGACAGGAAACTGGCAGGTCACAGCAGCCTGTGGGCGTTGCCCATGTATGCCACCGCAATCTACCTCATGGAGGGACTGAGAGCGCGGCTGCTGGCTCAGCGTCAGTCGCTGCCTGTGCGTCTCATGGTCTACACCCTGTTCATCTACCTTTGGGAGCTGAGCTGGGGAGCAGGGCTGGGGCTGCTGAGGGCCTGTCCCTGGGACTACTCCGGTTACAGGTACAGCCTGGGAGGACTGGTGACTCTGGAGTACGCACTGCCCTGGGCTGTGGCAGCTTTTATTGCAGAGCAGCATGTGATTAAGAACACTCTCCGAATAAGACTACACAACTGAACTGGTCCATTCCAAAGACAGCAAAACATTTATGGAAAATGTTTTAGGATATTAAAGGGACTTTTTGACAATTTAGGAAATAAGCCTGTTTGTTTTTTGCCAAGAGTAGGGTATGAAAACTGGAACCATTCACATTCATCCAAAATGTCCAACATGCATACTGCCAGGAGATGGTTCGCTTAGATCAACAGAAGGACTAGGACGAAAGAGCTAGCTTGGACAACAACATGGTTTGTACTAGATCGTTTTTAGCTGTTGAGTGTGCACTGGTTGCTTGGCAAAGTCACAAAGATGACATGACTCCAATTTCACAATCATAGCTGCCTGCCTCCATTACGCTAAGCTAATCACCTCCTGTGTCCAAACCATAGACCACTTCTTCCCACTATTTAAAAATGATTCCAAACTATCTCAGATACAAACGCTACCATCTTGAGCATTTGGATCCAGAGACTGTTCATTAGCGATCAGCGAATGGAGTCATGGTTTTTAGGTCCCACACACACACTTGACTGATCTTGAGTCAGTCTCAGTTGTCAATCATGACGTTTCACCCCATTTTTATATCATCAAATAAATAAATAAAACCAAACAAAAGAAAATGACTTGATTCTTACTTTGACTTTTGGTCCATGTCCCATCCACTAACATGGGGCAAGAGGGTTTTATAACCTGCAGCCAGCCACTAGGGAGCGATCAATATGCTTTGGCTTAATTTTTGGAGAGCTGTCATGTTATCTGTCTTTATGAACTTAGTACTCTTATTAAAGAAGTGAATGGGTATATTGCACAGAAATGTCAGAAGTCAAATGTATTGCTTTAAAAAAAGTGTTTGTATCAGGTCAGATTTGGATAGTCGAGTGTAAAAATTTTAAATGCAGCAACTCATTTAAGAGGGGGTTTGTGTTTGATACTGAAAAGATTGTATGGTAGATCCTATTTCTACCATCTCACTTTAAAGAGACTTCACAGTGATGTCTCACTCTGAGCTGCACCCATGCCAGGAAGACAGTGTTATCAGTGGAAAGATAAGTCTGAGCAGCCACAGTTAATATGAAATCACGCCAAATCTTAAATCACGCCAAAGGTTTCCCTTTGTTTTCTCTCAACCATAAAGATGTCAATATAAAGTTACATACAACAATTTCATTATTTAAAAGTTAATATAATTACTTCACACCACTGGTCAAAAGGTTTTAAGAACATTTTAACTGATCAAGTTAAACTCCAGGTATAAAAACTGTAATGGTGCCAAGGTCAGTGGCAAACTACCCATGGTATAAAAAATAGGTGACTGAAACATTATGCAACTTCCTTGAAAACAGACCTTCTCAGGGATTATATTCAATGATTAATTTACAGATTTCTGCCCCATTGAAGTGAATCAAGCTTTGACAGTAAATGCTAAAAAGAAAATCTGCATGTGTCAATAAACTGTGTCACTGCACCCGCTGATGTATATTGTTATATTATATATAGTGCTATATTATCAGCACAATACTACACTGCAGGAAGTAGTGTTGTATATTTCTAGTTCGTCAGAGCTTCATCCTACAGCAACATAATGACAGAAAACATTAGAAAACAAACAGATGGAGGCTTCACATGATGAGCAGCAGCTCATCAGACATGAACCTCATGGAGCTGCTTTAGGCAACTGGACTAAAGGTGAAAGCAAATCAAACTACAAGTGCAACAGACATGTGGGAACTTAACTGTGTTGCGACCAGCTTCTGTCCATTCCTCTTTTTTTAATGTGTTTATTTGTTCTTTGCTTCTGTACATTGATTGATGAAACTATTTCAATATACAGAAAAATATATAGAAAAAACAGAGGTGCTTTAAAACCTTCAACTAGCAGCATATGTAGCCACAACAACGTGAAATGTATTGTTTCAGTCCCAATAACGTCTTGAGTGCATTAATACTCAGACGGGTCAAGGTTCATATAACACATGAATGCATGATTTACATGGTTGAACATGAAGATACACAATCTGTGAAAAATGCAGTCATTTGCATCCAATCACATGTATTTGTAATGAATAAGGGTTTTCCTCTCCTCATATGCAGCATTATGTGTATTTAATGGGTGTTTGTGTATTGGCAGGTCATGGTCTCTTCCGCTCAGGGTTCTGTACCACAAACAGGGCAACAGTCCCGTCATCTCTCTGCCACTGGTACCTACAGAAGAAGAAGCCATTTAAAGATATTCATATATCTAGTAATGTGGACCCAAGGTTTGTTATTAATTGTTAATACAGACTCACTGGCTCTGTTCAGGAATAAGTAAACTGTCTCCTGCAGAAAGACTGAACTCCTGCTCATTCATAGTCAGTCTAGAGGATCCTTCCTGAGAGAGACACAGGGAGAAGGTGAAGGAAGGAAAGAAACATTTGAAAAAGATAAATAAAATGAGAGTTTGTAGTGTATACATCCCTCTTACAAAGCAACCGAGGTAACGTTTAGAAAGCCTTACCATCTGCCAAATCCACACGTCACTCTGTGGTACTGTTGCTTCTGTCAGGCCAGGTCCAAACACCATCGCCTGTTGGGGTCATAAGAAAGAGAGTTAAAGCGTTTTCCTTATTCTCCATCACTCTCTTTGGGCTCTACGACTTCCCTTCAAGTTCTTAAATGTTTCTGTATTTACAATGAAACCCTCTGTGGCATATGTTCATATATTATGCTCTAAAGTCATAGGGGATTTCCACAAGCAGTTGAATGCCAAAACTGCCACTGTTCTGCTTTAATTTTAGTTTCACTTTAACAAAACCCTTTAGCTTAAGGGTTTCAGTAAAGTGAAAAAAATCCCATATATCATATTGCAACATACTAAACTAACAGGAGAGAGGTTCAATGCTTGCTCACTGCTAACCCTTCCAACTCAAGCCCTTTGGACTGACCACAGTGTAAGTGCTGTTTTTTAAATACTTTTGCCCTTTGCCCATGGTGGTAAATATGTAAAGTTGCCTGACAGAAAATCTATTTTTTAGGTATTATTTATTGTAGGTGTTTCTATTATAAAAGGAGGATACTTCAAACATAAAAAGAAAAGTAATAATATGTATAGTTGTAGATGGATGAACTATAGTGTGTCATTACAGTTAAATGAGAAACTCCTCCCTCCTTTTTCCTTCATGGTCTGGTTTTCTGTCACCATACCGAACCTGTAAGTATTCTAGCAATTGACTGAATAATTCTAATGCCTCTGCACCAGCTGGATTGACCTCAAGGTCACATGTTGTTGTGAACGGGTATCTCAGGAATTTCCAAAGGGATTTTAAATACATCCAGCCCAATCGTTCACTTCACACTGGATGACTTGAAAAGAATTTGATGGTCAAAAGTCAAGGTAACTTTGACCTCTCGAAACATATGTTTTGCCTTGTAAATGTAATATTTCAGGAATACCTCAAGGGACTGGTGGTCAAAGGTCAAAGGTCATGGTGACCTCATATGAATCTGGAAACAACAATTACATCGTTGAATCCTTGTCTTTATATAGAATTCAGTTAGGGCACATCTTTTATATCTTACTTTGAGAGAAATAAAAACATGTATAAAATATTCTTCCAATAAACACGTGAGGTGAGGTTGAAAGGAATACCTCTGTCTCAAACTGAGCCCCGAACATGTCGACGTGCCTGCCACTGGCCAGCGACGGCCGCTGTTTGTCCAGCCAGTCTTTGAAGCAGAAAGGCGACATCACGTTCATGGTGTTCAACTGGAAGGGAGGCTGTCTGAAGACTTCATCTGTTCATCAAACGACAGCATCACACACTTTAAAGGGATCAGACTAGATATCTCGATACCTAGTTCAAAATAACAGGAATCCAAAGAAACTTCAGCGCAACTCACTTGGATCAGGTTTTCCTGTTCTGTACTGCTTTGATTCCAAGAATCTGCAAATAAAAAGTTAACAACTGTAATCAAACACGTCAAAGTGATCTGATGGTTTGTGAGTGTGAAGGAATGAGGATGTCTTTACTCTTTGATTATTGGCACCAGTTGGGTTCCAAGATCCTGACAGTAAAACCATTTCTCAAACAAGATGTCAATGGTGTTGTCCACATAGTACCTGAAAACAGCAACACACAGTCAAAGAGGAGAAGAGAAGAGAAAGAAGAGAAGAGAAAGAAAGTGAAGACTAGAGAACCTCAGGCAGTCAGTCTCAGTCAGCAGTCGTCTCCTCTCCACCACCAGCCCCACAGTGTTGGCCTGTCTCTGTGGGGAGTGGGGTATCCGAGCCGGCAGCAGGAACATCTACAGATGAGAAAAGAGAGAATGACTGTGAGTTAATAACACACATTTTGTATGTAAAAGTGACCAGTTTGTTTTCATTACAAGAAAATCCTAAACCTAAAAGAAACATTAGAGCTCACCTCTCCCTCTCTGATGTGCACATCCTTGTGTTTGCCGTTTTCAATCACTTTCAGACACATGTCTCCCTTCAGCTGGTAGAACAACTATTTCAGGGAGCCAAAGACAAAAGAAGAATCGCACTGAATTTAAGTTGAAGCTCCATTGACTTTACACATCACTGTGTGTTTAGAGAGTTGCTACACTTAAATCAAACCTATGACCAAACTGTTGGTGGTAGCATTGCATTGTGGGTAAGGAAGGCACCAAAGGTGCATGCGAAAAGTTCTTATGATCTTCTTTCCTAATCATTACTTCTTGACCCCAGGGGAATACATCACAAGGTCAAGCAAAGATGTGGAGAAGCCAGGAATGGAGAACCAGGGTGCAAAGAAAACCAACTCCACTTACACTTTGCATTTAAACTAAACAACTTAAATGAGACAGAAGAAACACACACACTATCCCTCGAGCCACAGCCAGTCTCCCCTTTGTTGTGCTCAACAAAATGAACAGATTTCCCATGTCTTTATTCGGAAAAAATTTCAACCCCTAAACAGCTACACCAGTTCTTCTGTAGTGGTCATCTAATGTTTGCCACATTAAATAATTTGTCGGCACTTCTGTTTGCAGCATCTCGGCTGTCAGTTATTAGCCACCAGCTGAGATTGAATAGGAGCACATTTCAAACAAGTTCCTGCAATTCTTTCTTTGGATGTGATTGTTGTTTAAATAATGTCAATTAAGGACATTGCTCTCATAGCATGTAGCTAAGTGTTCACACATGGGTAGTACTCTGTAAGTGGATAGAGAGACACCAAAGGCCTCGGTCGAACATTTGAGTTGAAGCTGTGATTGGCTTTGCCACAGGCAGTAAATGCTTAATGTTTAATTAGGTAATCAATCACCATATCAACTATAATTTAACAAAATGATGACATAATGAAATGTCATTGTGTGGTAGCTGTCATTTCGTGTGTGGCACCATGTTCTTGTGGATAAACTCAGAGTTTGCATTGAAAAATCAGAGTGTAGTTTTCTTGGTTTAAGTAAAGAAGCAGCAACACTGCTGCAGACAAGACAACACGTATCTGTAGAGGAATGAAGACTTTATAAAGAATGTGTCAGTCCTGTCCTCTCACCTCCTCCCCTTCTTCGATGTGATAATCCTTCCTGGTGTTGGGACCTCCGACAAACATGATATTCAACTGAAGAAAGTGCCTGAGGAATTAAAGACAATCATTCACTCACATGTCCTCAAATAATCAGTGGAAGTTTCTGGTCGATTTGTCAGCGCAGCTCTTATTGTGTCAAATAAAATGCAGATTGCTCATGACATCATTTATCGAGCTGTTGCAAAGAGGAACTCACGCACGTATGTAACAATGTGGCTGCTATGAAAACATTGAAGGTTTTTACTCACATGAGCTTGTTGCACACTGGCGGCAGAAAAGCATTCTGGTTCTCTGCAATCCAGTTTTCCACATTCACAAGAGGACTGTCACTCATTTTGTTAAAGTGATCGGCTTTGTGCTGTAGTGTCTGGCCAGTCTCTCCTCGTCTATCTAGTTCAAACAATGTGACTGACACTGAAAGTCCAAAATACAGAAGTGGCTGTAGAACAAGTGGGGAGGAGCTCTGTTTCCCAGAGAGGTGAAAGGTTGCTTGCACTGTCTCACTAAGTGACATAGTGTCTTCTGGTTGTGATTCCAGATCTACTGGAATGCACTGCCAACCTCTAATGGAGCAAGTCTCTCTTGGGAATGTTAGTGCAGTATTTTGACTGGCAGATCCCTGTGCAGACTGATTAATAGAAGTGCTTCAACACTGGCTAATAAGATAAATACAGAAAAGTTACTGAGTAGAAGTTTAAAACACAAAGTTTGTATGTGATATTTGGTTTAAATCACGGTTGACAAAACAACACGGACCAATCAAAACCAAATGTAGCATAGACTGAAACCTTGCCCCTTTACACATGGTATGTTAAAAGGGGGTGCTGTGGTCAACAGCTCAAATCCCAGCCCATGCTGAAGTGTCCTTGGGCAACAAACTGAACACCCCCCCACAAAAATTGTCCCTCATAGATATTCAATGCACTCAGCATCAGCTAAAAGAAATGTATATAATCAATATAATAATATAATCATTCACATACATGTTTCCTTCATGTGTCATTTCACACGCCTGCATTACGTGTGCAGTGTCATGTCTGTCGCACTAAACTCTGCAGAGTTCTGACAGTGAACATAAATCACTGTTCACTGATTTGAACAATATGTCTGAGATTTTCCATTGAGTGTAATGATTTAAATTGTCCAGCAGGTAGAGCTGTTTAACATGGGGACATTGATAAAAGTAGAGTCCTGAAGAAAGGGTCTGTGTTTATAGACTTCTCTAGTCTTGGTGACCACTCACAGCACCTGACAGAACAGTTGTGCCCTTCACCCATTCACACACATACCATACACTGCATCTATGTGCCACACTTTCTCACACAGCAGCAATTTGGGGTTCAGGGTCTTACCCAAGGACATTTCGGCACGCAGGATGGAGGAGCCAGGAATCAACCAACTTTCTGGTTAGTGGACACAAAGGTCCCAAAAGTCCCCAAAGGCCCCTCATCTGGAGACCTTCACCTGAGAGAGGAAGTTTAAAATCATAAAGAAATCAATTAGATTCAAGAAGTAATCAAATGAGCAGTTGACAGAAGTTAACTTGTTTCATGCTCAGTAGGTTTGGTTGTAACTGTGACAAGAGCAAACTGCAGGTCAAGATGAAAACACATTCAGGAGCTGGTGGAGCGGAAATTGTCAACTTCCATTTTCCCAATGGAGAAATTTGCCATCTCCTATATCATCAGAGGATGAGGCCTTATTTGGCACCTACAGTAACCAACACTGACTTTGATTCACTTCATTTTGTACAGAATCATTTATATAAAAAATCAGATCAGGATAAAGATCAGGGCTGTAACATGGTGGGTTGATGATATATAAGTGACTGTATGCAACACATGTTAAACCTATGCATTATTTCTGATTTATTTCTCTTTTCCTTTCCCACATTCAGTTAGTAGTTAAATCTGAGGAAATGAACATAAACATGAAGGGAGCTGTTTGTTGCAAATAACTTGTCATCCAACAATCATTTTGAATGTATAATAATAATGATAATACAGCAGCTGACTGGGTCTGTTTCACATGGTATTTCATATCAGATTACAATCTCCTGTTACTGAGATTTTACACTGATTTCTTTTTCTGTTTTTTCATCAATGATACATGTGATTAATGTCCTGTAAGTTCATTTCCTTGTATTTGAAACATAATGAATAAAACTGCACATAGAGACTGAACCTTAATGTAACAGATTCATTGTTGAGTAACTTTCATGTGAAACTTCAGGAACAAGTGATTTACTATCATATATACACAGATATCTCTAACCATACTGTATCATCTGTATCATCAACATAATAACTATATGTTATATCTGCCTGTCGCTCACTCACGTGCATGCGTCAAGTCATGGCAACAGAACGTTCAGGAGGTTTTAAATCATAAGAGCAAACTTGTCCACTGAGTCATTCACTGCGACAGGACAGTTGATCTGCGGCAGAAAGTTTCTCTTCTTTACCGGATCAACTGGAAAACTTCCAAAAAGACAAAACAAGAGCCCGAGAGGAAAAAACCTGCTGCCCGAAAAAAGGTGCCCCGAAACATGAAGCCTGGATCCTCCGTGGAGAAGCTGCGGCTGCCCCACCTCGTTCCAGGTAATTCATATCTGCACTAATAACTTCAGATGTATTCATTCATCATGCAGCGAACAAATAAGATGCTGAACGTGTTGATTATTACCGAGTATTAGCGTCACTTACAGTGAAAACAAATCTGAGATAATAGTATATGATGTGATTTTAAAATACGACTTGATTCTCGTACTATCAAGACCGTTATTATTTTCTACGATATGGCCCAAATTAAAATAAGTAATTCATATAAATAAATAGTAAAAGATGGGCTCTGCTGATACAACCACTCATGTATGAATAAATGTTTTGTAATTTTAACAATTCTGTCGTGATTTACTTTTTTAAATTGTTATTTGTTAGAAAAAGAGACCGGCCCTTTTTAAATCGTAAAATGCTCAAAGTTGATTTGTTATGTAACTGTGGAGACGATGGAACTTTCAAAACGTGCACGTTAACCAGGGCGCGTCCGTGTGGAGAGGATTATTCTCAGACATACATCAGTGTTGTCCTGATGTGAAATAAATGTGTTACTGTGCTGAGGCTACAACATTTGACCCACGATTAGTGAGATGCTGTTTATACCTTCTTTGCTCCTGTGCATTCAATGTTACACTTTGATTTTAAAAGATATGTGAGAACTTACTGTGTGATTATACCATCACAACCCATCTTTTACAAATGAATAATTGTGTGCCATGGGCCAATCTTTATTTTTTTACAGTATAAATTTAATATTTAAATAATATAATCTTCCTCTTCGGCGCTAACATCAACTCAGTCTCAAATTTCTGTCACAACAGTAAAATCATTATACAAAACTGTGCTGTCAAATCACCTGCCTTCAGCTGGTGCGGTTAGATGGCCAACAATCAACGAGTCATGCTCAAACATTCTTCTTCTCTCAGTGTGTTTTTTGAAAATGTAAAATCTTACAATTTTACTCTCTCCTCTCCTCAGGTGGTGTCGTCTGGCCTTTCCCGAACGCTGCTCCTGCTTTGCCTCATGCAGCTTTTCCTTTACCTCACGCAGCTCACAACTTCACTCCTGGTCCTCTTCCTTTCTATCATCCTGCTGCTGCTGCTCTTCCTTTCCCTCAGGCTACTCTTCCTTTCCCTCACCATGCTCCTGCTGCTCTACCTTACCGTTTTGTTACTTTTCATGTGCCTCATGCTCTTCCTTTCCCTCATCCTGCTCCTGCTGCTCTTCCCCACCCCCTTGCTGCACTTACTTTCCCTCAACCTAGTCCCGCTTTCCCTTTTGCTGCTCCCAGCATTGCTCATCAAGTGGACCCTGAGGGTGATGAAATTCCATATTTTATGGACCTCATTTCAGACAGCTTGGATTGTTATTTGGCAAAGGCCCTTGGTTTACCGTTACTATGCCAGCCTCCTCCACACTCCTCCAGATGTAAAAAAAGGGAAGTGGGGGACAAAGAAGAGGCTCCCTAAGAAGCCAAGGCATTTGAAAGCCAGCTACTGAGATGGACTCTGCTATTGTCAAAAAAAAAAAAAAAAAAAAAAGTTGTAAAATAAAACCGTCTTTTTAGCACTTTAACTCATCAGTGAGACATTTCTAATGTATTATTTTGACATTCTGGAATGGTTGCGGCACATCTAATCCAAAATCTATGTTGAATTATTAACACTTAGCAGCAGACTATTGTTGAACCATTTATTATTAACTTATTAACATTTATAAGACAATCAATAGTTTTAGGTGATTTTGCTGATGGCTTTTTCAAATTGGGAAATTATCTGTCCTTTATTAATGTCTTACTAAAGTGACTATGAGAAAGTGTTGCAGAAAACACAGCAAGTTGTGTGTTTACAATAGCATAGATAGATTTACTAAAACATCTGGGATACTTATGGCTGCTCTGTAAGTTTAGAAAATTCAAAAATTGCCTAAAATCCCAGAAAAGGAGTGTTAATGTTGACATTGTTGTCCACAGCTGGAAACTCTCAGCAAGTAGATAAACTCACTGTTTTGTTATATTGGCAATAGTGAAACAATGACATATAGTTGTGAGTCTGATCAGTATCTATTTATACATACACACATATATTTAATTTCCTGGTTGACCATGACTGACCACTGTGTGTAGACTTATGTCACAACCGTTTATAATAATTTCACTGCTGCCTGTATGAGAAAATAAAGTCCAGAAATATCAGTAAAAAGTATAATTTATTGCGTTGAATGCATCTTCTAAAAGTGCAGTGACTGTAAAATGTTCCCCTTTATTAGCATCTTTGATTTCCACAGTTAAATGAGCATCTGTCAGTTCAGTGGACATCAGGCACAACTAATAATTATTATATGTTATGGTTTGGGGGGTCTTCAGTCATATATTGGTTCATCCGTCATTTATTCATGTAGCTGATTTTTTCTTTTGCATTCACTTTGTTTTCCTGGAGAAATGGGGCCCCTGGTGGACACAACAACACACAGCAACAATAAACACAACACGGCAGTTCACTTTAAAGACTTTTATTTTACACAGAGAAGAGCTCTGTATATAGATGTAGTATAGTTTTATACAGTTGTGATAGTCTTAGCATATCACTAACATCTAAACATTCCCAAATTAACGGATGTGACTGGCACAAATGAAGCTGGTTATTGCATTCCATTCTTTAACAAGAACAACTATAACATCAACGACCTTCAGTAGAATTCATAAATGAACCTGTGGTGATGGCCGCTCACTTTACTCTCAGTGTTCTGAGGAGAGCAGATGAAGTTGTGCAGGTTTAAATGTGATGTAAACGCTTGTGTCATCACATGCTAACAACAAACAGCCAATAATAGCTCAGCTAAAGTCACCGACGTGCGATCTCTAAAAAGAAATGCGCCTTGGCTTCCATGCTTCTTCTTTTAG